TTCAAAAATACCGATTGATTTTGATATATTCGATGAATAAGTAATAAATGCATAGCTAATAATTCCGATGAACGTGCATAAATTAAAATAGGACTATTATTATCAATAACAAGATTTAATTCACGTTGAGTAGCTTCATTTAATATATTTAAACATTCTTGATATGAATTATTTTTAAAATAAATAATTCCTTGAATTTGAGATATCATCATTGATATACTTGTTGATATATATGGATTTAAAGAAGCAGTTTGATTAGAAAGTAAAGAAAAACGAGCAAAATGTTCATCTATTATTGGTTCTATTATTGACTGATTATAATCTGTATTATTGGTATTTAATAATCGAATACAATCACCTAAAAAAATTATTAAATCAAATAAGAATATAGAATAATTATAACTTACTGAATCGATATCCAGCTTCACTCCATGCTAGAACAACATCTGTGCTATTGTCATCAAATGTAACAAATGGAAGAATTTTACCGACTTCCACTAATTCTTGTATTTTATTGACAATTTGAATATCATATGGTAACCAATAGAAAAGATTGATAGCAGCACGTGCAAGAGCACGATATGCAAATAATAAATGATGAGTTGATGGTGTCAATGATTGATTATAAGCAATATACAAATCATTTATTAAAGATAATGTACCAAGCCAATCACCTGTTTGTAAACGAGAATATGAAAGCCATTCTGTTGCATAAGCTCGATTATCAGCATCACATAATAGAAATGATGATATTTCATCTGTCGTATTAAGTTGAGCCAAAACAAGTTCAAGTTGAGTGGAAGATACATTAGATACCATACGATTCATTATTTTAACCAAACACAATGTTAAACTAACTTGAATAGATCTTTCATCAGATGATTTAGCTAATAGCAGTGAACCTAATGATAAAAATAAGATAGTATATAATTATGATATAACTTGTTTTTTTAGCTTCATAAGAATCTTATTTACCTGTACGCATATAAATATGAGTCATTAAATGTTGTGGGTATGAAAATGTATTAACTAATGGTTGATACGTTGATATATAATCTATTGCGTTTACAGATATATTATTCTGAGCAACATCATAAGCATGTATTAAATAATGAAGAGCACCTGGATGATTTGGTTCAGATGCTAGAGCAGTTTTCAATACTTCTCTTGCTTCTATCATTGGTGCAGGTTCCATTTGACCTTGAAATTCTTGTCCAAAAGCTACATTAAGAAGAGAAAGACCCCATAAAACACGAATATCAGTTTCATTTGGATATGTTTCTGATAAACTAGCTATTGATGATAAAAATGCTTGTTCTCCAACTGTAATCGATGATTCATTTGCATACCATTGATAAACTGTTGCAAGTAATGATGATTGAAATGATGAAAGTGTTATAAATGATGTGTTCAACATTGATATAGTCGCATTATATACTGCTAAGCCACAATCAAAATCAGTATATGACCATAATGCATGTTTACATCTAATTAAAATAAAAATTTCTAATAAAAAAAAACTAAAATGTATGTTGTAAATATTAAAACATACGCAAGCATTTTTCCAATATAAGCTTCGACGAATGTCGGTGTAATATTAATTGCTAGATCAAAAGCATCTTGTGCTTCATCATACATAAATGAATGGAAACAAAAATATCCAATAGCAAAATGATAATGTGCAAGTGATGATCGATCAATTGTAAGACCAAGTGGTCGTTGTATTTCACTTAATTGTATATATGATTCCCATGGAAGAAGATCATCAGATGTATTCCATGACTGACTAACAATTTGTTTATAATTAGCAAAAATCACTATAAGAACGTATACTAACATATCTTTTGATCAAATGCAAAATGAAAACTATACAAAGACAAAATAATACACAATTGAATCGCCTCATTGATTTTAACGACAAAAGAAACGTACAAAGAGTCGATATTCTATAAATAAATCGATCTATGCACTGTTTATTCCGATTTGCAAACATGTGAGTAGAGAAAAACAAAAAAATTATGCACTAAATGCATCATAAGGTGATAAAGAAAATACGCGAATACATGCGAAGTTATATACGTAAATCTTATCGAAGTTGATTGAGTGAAAATTAGAATTCAAAGATTTATGAAATTCAAAAAGATTTTTCCCATAGAAAAGTCTAGCATAAAGTAGTTTGAACTTTTGTCTATCGTTATATTGTAAGCAATTGAAAGTGGAATAGACCAAATTAATCATACATGTTAGCAGCAGACATTTTAGTACTGATAAAAAATAAATCATCACAATGGGTTACAAGTATTAGTTCATTAGCTTAGTAGAAATGATATCAGTGTATCACGTCGTTCTAATCATTGTATATAATTTCGATGAATATATTTCTTCACAAGTTAGTTAATGCAATGAACCAAGTTTTGTGCTGATTACTTTTACTATAAGTAGGTTTTGCTGCATAAATAAATTCATTATCAGTATTCAGTGCTTGCACTTCATCATACTCTGTCATATTGAAGTCTCTTTTTTTCTGGTTAAAATCATTCGCTATTAACTCTCACAATTATTAATATTAAGTGAATTTAATTTTTGCATAGATTCTAGCCTATAACAGATAGGTCAACACAGCGAATTAAATATCAATACTTTTGACCAAATAGATATCCGAAGATATCGTCTTCAATGTCTTCATCTTAATTCAAGCGTTATCATTAAACATTAATGTGATACTGATTATTTTTTTTTCGATTGTCAATGGTAAATATTAAAAAAATAATCAGACTCTCATCTAATCCCCCAGTAATCAACTTTACAAAACTACGTAAAAAAAAACCTAAAAAATAACAAAAAATGTATGAAAACACGGAAAAATTTATGTATAAAATCATTTAGTAAAATTCAGTTGAGTTATCTAAACAATTTAATAGACTCAATTGAGATTTTCTTTCGCTGTAAGAAAAATTTAATTGCCTCTGTTACAGACATTTTGAAATACATTCTTATGCATTCTATTCTAAAATGCTTTAGAATCTGGGTGTGAGTGTGTGACTATGAGATCTTTTTTCAGTATTACATCCACATTCTGTATAGAAATAGGCCTTAACAAATCTTTTGATTTTCTTCTATCCTAAAATGAGAACATTAAAAGATCTGAAACATTCACAAAAAAGATACTCTCTTTAAGGCCTGTTTCTATGCAAATTTTCAAGTCGAAACTCGAAAATTAGTCTCTCTAGTGTTCCTGAGAAAGTCTACGACATTGATTTAAAAAACAAGGTAAAATTGCAGTATTTCCGTAGCAACAAGTTAGCGGCTCGAACTCTTTCCGTGATATTCATATCCTATTTGGATCTACATAGTGCGCATAGTCTCAACATAAAAGGAATGAAACAGCGAGTGAACTTCCCCGTTAGTGATTACTTCGATAATTTTGAACTCACAAAAGCCACGTTTTCATATAGAAGTTAACGCATACAACTACAAATTTGAAAGATGTTTTACTGAATGTGGTTTATAGATGCTCTTGCATGAGTATCTGATTTTGAGGTTGTTTGTAAGATAAAATTGAAAAAAAAATTAGAATATTCTAACCAATTGTACTATCAAAGAGTTATAGTAAAAATGATGAAAATTTTCATCAAATTAGTAATAAGAAAAAAAAAGTGGTGATTGGATACATCATCTTCATTTCATACATTCATATTACTTTTCTTTTGAACTTGTGATTTTTAATGAGATAAATTAAGAAACTTAGCCGAATATCATGTCTATATTATATTTTTTTTTTATTCACGTAGGTACAATTTACATATTGATTTTTGAATTTAACCATGGCCTTTCATGTCCTTAGGCGATGAGAAATAAAAACAAGTACAACCTTCATCATTACGAGATAAAAATAATAGAATACATATGATGAGTAAATTGTCAAAGCATAACTAAAATTATACATTTATGACTCACCAATACAGTTGAAGTATGTACCTTATATACATTATATCAACTAAAAAGAACATTTATAGCAAACTACTAGTTTGATATTTATAAATGTTGTGAATATATTATGAAAACTTGAAATCATTTCATTGAGACTTGATAGTTAACTTATCAATCCATTAAAATAAATATTGACATGAAAAATAAAATGAAACAAAGTTGAGTTACTACTGTTTTTTTTTGAATGGAATAGAACAAAAAACAAATTAAGTTCCAGGAGAAATGTTTTTTTGCCGAATAGACTTTGTAGATCTCTCTTTATTGATTATTTTTATTAAAAACATTGATTTTGTTAAACAATAATGATGCTAAAATCAAAGTACTGAAAATCTTGAACAGTTCTGACTAGTAAAGCGAAGAGTTTTAGCAGTATTTTCATTCTAGCAACATTATATACATCTATTGTAAGAACAGTATTTTTGTAATGTTTGATTAAATACGAATCAAAATATCTAAATGTTACCTATAATTTTCAAAACTTGCTCTAACTAATTCTTACATTATGGATGGTCATTTATTAGCGTCCTAATAGTCGCTAAACTTTGCTCCGTCACTTATGAAGATTATCATGTAATGTAGTATTATTATTGTCTTCTGCCATTGAATGCTTTCGTCCTCTTTTTTGGTACTTTTAAAGTACTGATTCTTTTTCTTTGTTCAATGGCTCAGTTAATGAGCGAAATCCTTCTCCTAACTTTATGTTAATAACTTTCGACGTTTGAAAAAGAAATTTATTTTACTGAAATCCACTTCCAATCATGACTCCACAAAGTACGTCGTTGATACTAACTAGTGTCAAGTCATGATAGTTTTCTTTGTAACACACTAAATCAAATCATAATGTAAATTCTAAAAGGATTATGAGAAGAGACACGTGAATCAAGAAAATTCATTCCGATAGGACATCATCAGTTCTGTTACAAAAGTCTATTCTTGGTGGAATTTCATTACAATAAAATACGAAACGTATCCAGCTTTTCCGAGAAAACGCCATCAATGCATAGTCACGTTTATAGTTTCGATGAGTCGAAGCCATTGATACTGAATGTTTGTGTAATATTTAGTAGACTTGTCACTAAACCAGAATAGAGAAGTGATTTAAAATTGATTGCTTGATCTCGAAACCATTGTACCATGATCATCACGGTAGGATCGCTGGTGGACACAGAAGTCGATGGTAAAAATACGACTGCAATGCCTGTCATCCGGTTTTGCTCTACGCTGAATGTATTATTATAGTAAAAACGTATTTGTGATACGGCAAGAGCATAGGCTAAATCATTAACTACTGCCCGTGACAAATATGTATCAGATGTGTCATTTATTGGAGTAAATTGTCTATTGAGTATCAAATACACTGTTTGATATGTATCCGCATTCAGATTGGCTTGATACATGCAACCTGAAGATAATTCGTATGGTCCAAGATCAAAAAAGGATCTTGTCGATAATGATAAGTCAAAATCGGTGAAAATATTGACAAGATCACTAAGTTGATCGAATCCAATAGAGATTTGAGTATTACGAATACCACACATTGTATGATAATGAATAAAATGAGTTGTAAGACATGAATTCGATGGAAGAGAAATATGAAAGGGAGCAATCTTTTGCGTATTCCAATCAAAATTTAATGTCGAAAGTGCAGCAAAGGGTGGATAACGCCATACAGATTCGAATATAATATAGGCATCGGTTCCTAAATCAACAGTAAAAATACCCGCTTGCAATGCTAGTGCTGGACGATAGGCAAAATCAACTAGAAGGTTTGCTTGAAAATTTCCTTGCATCGGATGTATGTTCCGCGTCAAGTTTTGTGTATACTCTTTGCTTGTATTGCCAGGAGTACTAATCAATGTCAGATTTGTTTGCCATTGATAATCTACACCAGCAGTTAGATTTCCAATTGCATCCACTGTAATATTCTACGATATGGACGGAGCAAAAAACAGTCCTACACCAAAACTAAGCGAACCAATAGAAACTTGGATGGATGGACCGATTGGAATAGATGGTAGAGGTAACCAACCATCAAAACTATGTTGATAATCGGCCCGAATAGAGAAATCAAGATTAACGGAAACATGAGAATTCATGCGCACTACTATTTTATCTAATGCTGGTGAATTATCTTTGCGTTCGATTTCTATTTGAACAATACTGTAATCGAACGTAGCCCAACAATTTGTACAATTCACCTGCATGCCGATGGATCGTCCTTTACCACACATCTGGCATATATAGAGCAATTCTATGTCACGTGTTGGACACATAGTATTGCATGAAGCCGAGTAGAGCGTTTTCGATGCTAGTGCTTGACTTTGTTGTTCATCATAATTCCATGATCCGATTGCATGTGTTGGAATTGAAAATTGATTACTTTTTGCTGTACAATCTGTCGAATACCAATGTTTGCACCAGTTAAATTCAAAATAATAGCTCGAAAAAGATTTTTCAACAACTGGTAAAGTCCATGAACACGAACCACTTGAATTTACTGTGCATGTAAATGTGTCGATATCACTATCAGGTAGCAAATAGTTAGAGCAACGAAGCTTGATCGTAAGTAGATCATTTACATTAGCGAAGTTTGCACTGATCCATTCAAGTATCACCGTTTGTAATGGTGAGAACTATTCGTTGACACCTGGAAATGTTGAACGTACATAAGGTCGAAGCGGTACAAAGAAATTATTTGTAGTCTTTTTGCAATTCAATGATAACCATGATGTGCAATCTAAACATGGCATAGGAGAAAAAAAAATTCAATAGAAAATTTATAATCAGCTTACAGTCGAATTCGAAGTAGTAATATTTATCATTATCAGCTCGATCTAAGGAAGTCGGAATTGTAAAATTATAAGCATTGGCTGTAGCCAACACAGTGAAAGTAGCTAAGGTGGCATCTGGTATTATGGGTCGTGCTCGACGAAAGTGTACCGTAATTTGTGATGCTGCTACAAAATTCACATTCTGCCATGATAATGGTACTATATCGCCTGGATAAAACACTTCGTTGATTCCGGGTGGTTCTCTGGGAATGATCGATGGCAGCGTCGGAATATAGAAGAGAGCACTAGATTTCCAATAAGATATCAAAAAGCGGGAAAAACGAAATTTGAAGTAATATTGATTATTGGATGATGCTTCCAAAGTAGCAGGAATGACAAAAGATAATTGAAGGACATTCATTTGTGTAGTTATTTTATTTATTTCAGCATCGAATAAGAGCTGTTTTCGGTAAAGTACGATTTCAAGACTAGTCTTTGGATCCATATTCGAATATGACCAACTCACTTCGATGGTTTGCCCAGTATAAAAGATTTCATCACCGAGAGGTCTTTGTGGATCGAAACTCCACGAACTACGAAGGGATTTCAAGTTAGCCACTGGAACTTTTGTTTGTCGTGGGGGTGGTGATGTCGTTTTTCTTCCGGTTGTTGCACTACCCTGTTCCCACGTCAAGTACATCGAAATATTGGTAAAGCATATGAGTGGACTTATATTTGTATCCTTGTAAGTTTCGATAAATACTTGTATATTTTTTATTCGAAATGTTGATATGCGTTGAAATATGATTATTGTTTCTTGTGTTGTTACATTACGACAATCCCACACTGGACCACCATTAACAAATTTAGCACCTGATACAAGCCATTTATTATAGAGAAAACGGGCATCAGCACTCGATTTAAATGTAAGTACAAGCTGTTGTCGACTTCCAAATATACATTGAACGGATTCTAGAGATTAGATTGCATCAAGAGCAATACATATCTTTGGATCTAATTTAGCGCTAGAGTTCAGTTTGATTCGACGAATATTCGTTGACAAACTCTTTCCACGTAGTGTACTACTTTCATCTATATCTATCGTTTGTCGAAAGACATTTGAGTGTGCTGGAAGACCGGTAATTGAGTCAAAAGTTTTTAATTTGTTCGCCGTTGAATGAAAAATCGAATTGAACGATGGACGACCGATGATGACTCGTGTTTCAATGATGATTAATAAAGAAATAATTGATATTAACATGATATATGCTGAGAATCAAGATTTGTTCATACACGGACGATGAATAATTGAAAAATGATAGTTCTGTTTTATTCGCCGTACGAATGAATAAAAGTTCAGATGCTTGGATTCTTAAATATATATTATATTGTATTACATAGCGAACACCTGTATTTTAATTTCATTAGCTGCTATAAAGGGTACAGTTTACAAAGAACTAAAGCTTCGCTCGGCATAAATCAGAAGTACCTTCGTGAGATCTCTGTAATCGAAACAAATGTGTATGAACAAATAAGAATAAAACATATGTTCAGTTTCAGATACTTTAGTTTCAACTAGGCAGTATCTAAATTATACATTTGCTTTGATAGATATTTTTCTCTCTGATTGAACTGTATAAAACATCATTATAATGATAAACTAGTTGCCAATAAGCTTCAGAAAGTGTAGTTTCAGATAGAAAAATTATTTTAACAAGATGTATCCTTACCAATGTACACAGTTCAGTGATAGAATGATTATCTAAATAATCTACTTTGGAACTTCTCACTCATGAAAAAACCTAAGTTAGTCTATGCGGAGGTAAGCAGCAAGATTGTAAAAAAGGCAAGTGGCAGTAAAGCTCTCACTTGTAACACACTTCATAGAGTTCTATTAATAGTTAAATTATGCATGGCCGATTTTGACAAAAAAGTCGAAATCGTATTGCGGAACCTTTCATGACCATTGCAATGTAATACTCATGTATGTTATAATTATATGATTAATATGATAGTCGAACCATTCATTCATACTTTTGACTCATCATATGTATCTTTTTATGCTTTATTTCGAATTTTTCTAACGTGTTCGGTTAGAAATTAGTCATCAAAAAACAAAATTAAACGTCTGATTAGTAACACAAGCGTCACACAGTATTGCACACGCAATTAAAATTGATTTTTTGCAAAGATACATCACAATGATCAGAGCTATAAAATAAATGTTTGTTTGAATGTCACTGCAATGAATCAATCATCATTACTGACACAGTAGTCGATACTATGAAGTTATTTCGCTCGTATTACATCCAAAAACAATCCATATCGAATAGATATATCATAGGAATTAAAAATTTCTGAATTCTTGAAACTTTTCGATTAGACCAAAGAGGAGAACTTGACAAACCTCAAGTGATTCACACCGTCGCCAAACCGACGGCTACTCTCATCAGCTAGCGTATCTACAGTCATAATGATGCTATTACTCACTAATATTATTCACTCACGCTTCTATGCTTGCACCCACATACCGAAATACTTGAAACTCATGTATCGTAGTCTTTTTATCGTTTGAATGTCAATCATCTTGTGTATTGAAATAACTAAAGCGTGTAGTTAATATTTTATTTTTCTAAGAATTGGAAGTTCATGAAACTTCGCATATAAATGTCTGTGGAAACACTAATTATTTCAATATAAAACTTCTTCTTTTTACCTTTTTCAAATTTTGACGTGTTTACATGTACTACAGCATAACTTTTATTTTTGAATAAAAGTGTCAATAATAAAATCATATCACCTAATGATCAATGATGCACGAAAAAGAAAGACTAGAGACGGAAAATAATTTTCTAGAATATATGATGTGAAATGTTTTCATGAGGGTGTGGGTGTGAGACTTGCTGAAGAGGAGACTGACACATTTACCCACATCCTTCAAGACTCTTAAGTAAGATCGAAATCTGAATAATGGTATGCTAGGCTCAGCCTCTGTTATAAGTGTTTATAACACTGATTCTATCCATGGTAGAGATATCTATGAAGTTTCTAGTTGGAGAGACAAAAGATAATTACTTTTTCTTTTCTTTAATTGTTTTGATATAAATTATATAACTTCTGTCTCGACAATGATAGGCTATCTGTTGAAAGGTCGTCTTATTTTGTGGATAAATTTACGAATAAATAACAAAATTTTTAAATATTTATTAAATTGAAAAAAAACTCAAATGAAATAAAAGCTGCTATTATTATTGTTCAATTTAAATATGTTCTTTCGTCAGTACTACAAAAGTTTGTCTACCGAAAAATCAACTTTCTAAATAGCCTTTTTTGCATTTGAAAACTTTACCAGATGGTGAAGCTTAACAAGTTCAGTGCAAAAAAGCCAGGAATGCCAATAATTTGAAATACGATAATCACGAGCCAGAAAATTTTAAAACATTTCGACGAGCTCTTCAAACTTAGAGGACATAGTTTAATAAAACGCCTTTTGAATTGCACTTTTTCGTCATTCACGACGAAAGAAATTTGAGTAGCAGACCAAGGATTGCTGCAGCCATCATTCTTCAACCAGCAAGCGAGCATCAACAAAGTCCATAGGAGAGTAAGAGCTGACATAATGACTGCCAATGCTTGAACCGCAATAAAACCAGGTTGTACATCAAAGAATATAAGAGGAAAGGGAGTCACCGCAAGAGAAATGAAGAATCCGATCGACATCCAACACACAATAGCCAAGCTAAGTCCAATTAAATGAAATGTAGTAAGGGGTTGTCGTGTCCACAATAGATAAGCACATATACCAGGAAATCCAAAAGCAGTTATCAGCTGCGCTAGCAAAGCAAACGCAAACAGCACAATAACAGTAACCGCAGAGTTACGCCAGTCAATCAATGGCTGCAATGTATTGAGATCTGGAAATTGTTCAATCTGTAACACAGTTGTTTTTGAATTGTCAGTAAATGTAACCAGCATGAATTGATTTTTGTTATTTGGTGAACTTGAAGTATTGGCCATAAGTAATAGTTGTCGACAAGAGAGACCTGATACATTCAGAGCGGCCTTATATGTAACCCCCATCGTAATTACTGAATCGCCAGAAACTTGCATGTATGAATTTCTAAACAGATAGTATAGTTTCAGTGGACTCTTCTGACCACTACGCGTTCCAGTATAAACTCCTTGAATCGAAGAAAGTTGTGCTTCACTATCAACCGAAAACGGAAATTCTGCTTGAGTCGACGTATTGTAATTATCCGAAACGAACTGAAACATGATGACTTCCTCCAGAAAGACAGCTGTGGGATTTGGACCAATCGTTGAGGCCGCGAACACTCCTTCGCTATAATCAGGATAAAGAGCAGCGTTGGAAGTGAAATGCCACACAGCACCGTCTTTGGACACAATAGTTCGATTTCGAAAGTTTTGTCTTTGAAACATATATCCCATTCCATCAAAAGCTTTCGGGTAGAGACGGGAGTGCATTAGGTGAGCCGTTTCTGGGCTTTGAAACAAACCGCTTCCATTATTGAGATGCGAGGATAAGAATTTGGAAACATCGATTAGTGTCGTATAAATGTCACCCGAAGAGGTTGTTCTCACTTGATACGGTTCGTAATGTCGCGCAGACCGCGGATAACAAACATTCG